ATGTGGGTCTTGCATAGCCGTGGGGCTGGATGGTGTGAAAGGAGCACAGATTCCTTGCAGGCGTGGTGTGATGCCCCCTTGGGCCCCAGAGAGAAACCCCAACTGAGGAGCTGCATTTTGGCATCTCCAAGATGCTGCTGGCACACCTGGCACACCTGCTGGAACCAAGCACTTCTGCATGCTGTGCCTCCTGCCCTCTCCACACTGCACCCGATCACAAGAGCATGGGATGGCAATGGGCAGTGCATGGCAGCCCTGCCCAGGGGATGCCGTACAGATTTGCGGGGTCAGATTCCAGGCTCACAATTTGCAAGAACTGCTGCTGAATGAAGTAAGCAGCTGCAGAATGAGCAGCGTGCAGCATGCACAGCACTGCTAGACAAAACACGTGTGTGCACTGCTTTGCACTGCAAGCCTGTCCCAAAACATTCAACAGTATGACACGGAGCCTCCTGCCCTTGATCCCACAGGGCTCTACCTGGATGCCTGCGTTGAGGTTAAAGGTGCATAGGCCAAAACCCATGCAGAGCATCATGGAGACATACTCATCCCGAATGAAAGAGATTTCAATGGGCTGAACCAAAAACAAGCTCTGTTTAGTCTTCAGCATCGCCATTGGGGACGCACAACAGTGTTCCTGGAAGCAGAGTTTACATTAATGACCAAAAGAGGGCATTTTTGCTACCTCCTTCCCTCCTCCCCCCAACAAACCTGGTGCACATCCATCTGGAATATATTTCTTAAACTAACATAGGGTCCTCCTCGTTTTGCTCTGCTAGCAGCCTCGCTTCCTCTGAAGCATAAGAAGCAGCATTGACAGGAAAGAAATGGGCACGTTTCCCCCCGCAGTAAGATTTGCAAATGCTCGCAATATTTGTTTGTGCATGTGGCCACTTGCAGAGCCAGAATTCATCATCTTGGAGAAGTGGGGCTCGGTTCCCAAACTCGCTGACCTGTAAATCAGGGGATGGATTTGCACTGCTCAGCCCACAGTTTGCTGCCTGTAGCTCTGAAAAAATGTGTAAGTAAGTGCTGTGATCACTTTATTCAAAGTGCACTCCTGGCAAAATTGCTTACACGAATGGTGTGTTAATATCTGACACACTGTCCTGCATTTTTCCTATCATTTTTTCCCCAGTGATCAGCTCATCCCCTCTGCTGCCATGAGCAGGGGATAAAATCCACAGTGTTCTCCCTCCTGCTGCATGGGAGAAGTCCCTCTGCTGCTGTTGAGCTGCAGCGGAGCTGGGGAAAATGCCACATGAGGGTTCACCAGGGGCTCCTGGCACCAACTGGAGCCACAGCCTGCACCGTGCAGCACAGGGACTGTCCCTGTTTGCAAGGGCTTGGAGCTTTTTGCTTGTTGAGCTCAGGGCTTGCTCACTTCTCGCATCCATCAAGTGCTGTGTAAAGTCAGAGTGAGGATGGTAGCCTTCTGGATTTCCCAGCCTTTGGCACTGGAATGTGACCCTATTTCAGGCAAGAAGGATTTGGTGTTAAAGCACATGACTGACAGCTCACTGGGGTATTGCAGCATCAGAAAAGGAAATGTTACCAGACACAGCCGGAGGAATGGAAGACCTCTGAAGTCTTGCAAGAAAGATAGAAGTGCCACTGAGGATCAGCAAAACGAATTCATCTTCTGTGGCTGATGCATACTGGAGCTCCCTGGCACATGTCCAGGGGTCAGCAGCAGCCCTGCGGTCACCACACGGGTTGGGTGCATGCTGATGTCACTCCATGCCTACTGCTCACCGCTCCCAGCACTTTGACACAAAGAAAAACTGAGACACAACAATTCCCCCCCTCACAAACCCTCTGCGCAAACCCTGCCCTGACCAACGTGTTCTGAGGGAACCGAAGGGCTGGGATGTGCCTGCCCTGCAGCTCCGTGCAGCTCAGAGCTGCTCCAACGGGAGCACACTGCAACATGCTGCAAGGCCAGGATTTACCAGGAACTGAGATTTGTGCTGTTTTCTTGGAAACAGAAAGACGGCTTTATTTTTGCAAACAGAAATCTCGCTTGTGGTCAGCTGCTGGCAGCAGGTGGCTGTTTGGATCCTCTCTGAAAAGGAACACAAGTGAAACTCATTTCAGGTCGCTCCGAAAACAGAGCGGCGTCCGTATGATCTCCAGCAGCAGTTCATCCCCAAATGTTCCTCCAGGAAAAGGGGAGAGGCTTTGCTCTGGGAGGCACCACGTCCTGTGCATCTGCTAGAGCCACATTTCTCATCCCCCAGTAAGGAGTTTGCCTGCTGTCTGCTGTGTTGGCCACAGAAGCTCTCCACCTCCATCGGTGCACAGTGCAGATCTTTCTCTTGTATCTGATGGCTTTGTTCCATTTTAAGAAGCTGTGGGTGGTAGGGGAAGCATTTCCACCCCCAGGGGGAAGCAGTGATTTTGGAGGGCCTGGTGCCCATCGCAGGCTCTTCTCACACTGCAAGAGGGATGTGCCTGTTCACCCCACCAGGAGCAGGGCTGCACCCCCTGCTTTTTCAGAAGCAACAACAACGTCAGCTTTGCATTCTTGTCTGTGTGCTGAAACTGAAAGGGGAATGAGATGTCAGTGCCTCCTTCCTTCCAGCTCAGCCCTGGTGTGTGCTCACACCTGCAGGCTGTGCTTGCTGCTCTTGCTCTTGCTCAGCTTCAGCTGAGAGCTGCCTTTTTGTTTTGTTTTTAATATATTTTTTCTTTATTCCCCTCTTTTTCTCTGCTGCGGGCTCAGCTCTGTCTCACCTGGAGAGCACTGTGTGCTCTGCACAGTGCAGCATTGCTCTGCGTGCTGAGATCTGGGTTTGTAGAAACCCGAAGAGTGGGAGGAACACCTGAGCACCCAATGATTTGTCTCACAGTGATCATACTGTGAATCTGATCACACTCCAGTGAGTGAAGCACCTTCACCACGCTGCCTAAATGCACACGCATGGCTCTGAGCACTCTGAGCTGGCTGACTTGAGAGCTCTACAGCAGACATCCCCACCAATGCAGATGTTGGCAGCAGGTTTTACCATTGCTCACTCAGCCTAAATCTCTGCTTTGGCCTTTTTACAGAAGGTCTCTATGTTTACTTTCCCATTGTGCATCTCAGCCAGAGAAACGTGCTACTTTCTCACACCAGCCAGGCTCCAGGTCTCTGCACAGCGGTGCTGATGCGACCAATTCATGGGAATCCAAACCCAGTGCCTTCCCTTTGAGCTTCCTCCACCTCTAAGTTCCTACAGGAGTTGTTTAGAGCGACAGTCTTATGTCACCTAAGGAAAACGAAACAAAACCGAACACAGGACAAAGCCCATTCCCAGCTGCGATGGTTGGAGCCTGAGGACGCCGCCAGCTCACACCCTGCAGCTCGGAGCAGCACAGGCTGCGCCACCGGCAGCTGGAAGCACGGGGCGAGCCGCCGGGCGCTCAGCGCGCAGCCTGAAGTGCCGGCACGGCGCCGTGCGATGCCGCCCTTCTGTTTCTGCCCTTACAAACAGCAGCGGCACAACGCCGCGCGGTCCCGCTGAGCAGCCTGCGCTCAGGGAATATCGCAGCGTGCCAAAGCAGCGCCTCGCGTGAGCGCCTTGAGGCTGCGGTGCTCAGCCGCCACCTCCCTGCCCGCGGTGAGCGCGCTGCGTGCGGCACGGCCGCCTCCGTGCGAGGGCAGCGAGCAGCGAGCAGCGAGAAGGAATCTCGCGGCCGGGACGGCACCGTCAGCACCGAGCCGGGGCTGCCCCCAGCGGTGTGAGCGGGGCTCGGCTGCCAGGCATGGCCCGAACGAGCGGCGGCTCAAGCGCTCGCTAGGGGACGGCATCGCACCGCGAACGGAACGAGCGCAGCTCCGCGCTGCGTCCTGCCTCATCCTACAGCGCTTACTGGGGGAACGAAGCCGAAAAGAACCCGAAAAACCCCAAGAACGCATTTGCAGAGGCTTTGAAATAAGGCACGGCGAGCACAAGTTGAGCTTGCAACATTTCCATTTAATTTTGCCTTCTTTTTTTTTTAAACAGCCTTTCCCCTTACGCAAAACAAAACCCACTGCTCTTTCTCTTGCTGTACACATTGCCTCATAAAAAAGTGAAACGATGGGAAAAAAATAATTCTAGAACAAAAATGCTTTGCAACATATACATATATATCTACTTCTACCATACAGTGCACAGTATTTTAAAATTTGGGAAAGTAGATGTTATTTTCTACATATTCCAAAGCTTGCTTCCAAATCACATTTTCACAGCGATTTCTGCCTAGGTATAACATCATTCCTTTCCTTAAGATGACACCAAATAACCTCTTAAATACTGCCCCATCGCAGTTCATTAGCAACTGCTCTTTCTCAACTACAGAATTCCTGTAGGATTAAGGCCATTTCTGTCTGATGCTGTGTTCTAATTTTGGACATCACTCCACCAAAACAACGCAGCACTGATTAATTTACAGTGGGTTTAACTGGGGAACCACAGGAATGGCTCCTTAGGCCCAGGATCTGGAGGTTTCTCTTTCCAGTCTGTGTTTCCATCATCCTGAGCTCAGAATGACATCAGTCACATCTCCCTGTCAGCTCTCTGGCTCTCAATGGCCAGGTCAATCCAGGTCCCTGCAGAGCCTTGGGTTGCAGCTTTTCTGCAAGGTGTTAACAAGAGCACTTCTGAACAGGACCAGGCGTGCATCACAGTTGGCTATTTTTTAAAACTATGTCTAGCACTGTATTTATGCTTCAAACTTAATCAGTGCTTCAGAAAGACCTGATCATGCCCTGGGCTCTGGGCACCCAGAGCTCTACTTGTAGGCAAAACTCATGAAGAACTGGAATGATAACCCAAATTCCACAGCCATCATTACAAGACCAGTAATACATTTCAAATGCGTGCTGGGCTACCATAACTTCAAAGGTGCTTCCACAAAGAACATTTCTTTAGGAATTCATAGAATCAGAGGATCACAGAGTGGCCTGGGTTGCAAAGGAGCACAGTGCTCATCCTGTTCCAACCCCCTGCTGTGTGCAGGTCACCAACCAGCAGACCAGGCTGCCCAGAGCCACATCCAGCCTGGCCTTGAATGCCTGCAGGGATGGGGCATCCACAACCTCCTTGGATAAAGAAGGAACCGCATCCAATCCTTACCCCTCTCAGCAGCAGCAAGGCACCACTGTGCCTCTGGAGATGCATCCAGGCTGCAATCATGGACAGTTCCCCTGAAGCTGCTGCTGCTCGGCCGCTGCAGACACGCTGCCCCAGCACTCAGGGCTGTTTCTTGCAGGGTGGATGAGGGGGATGAGGCCTGACCCGGGATTTCCAGATACAGGCACTGATCCTGCGAGCCCCACATGCACACTGCATTTTGAAACTGAAGTCCAAAGCAAAAGCATCTGGGAGCGGGGCAGGAATCGTCTTGACCTCTGCCGCGTAAATAAAACTTTGTGTCTCTTTTGGAATTCAGTGAAGGCTCCCATCTATTAGAAGAGATTAGAGATCTCCATTCTCATCTGAGATCCCACAGGAAGGTCGCACCATGTTACTATGCGACTGCAGGGACGTTCCCATTCTCCTTATTGCTTTCCCCAAAAGGTTCATCGTCTCTCTCTTTCAGGGAGAACTTTTTCCTGAAGGCTTGCGTGACGCTGGAGGACGAAGCCTTCCTGAAGGTGGTCAACCTCTTCCGAAAGTTGCCCCCCGAGAAGAAGTAGAGCAATGGGTCGAAGCAGCAGTTGGCGGCGGCCAAAGGCAGCGTCACCACCACCGACTTCTGCAGGTAGGCCGTGTCCTCGCAGCTGGAGCGCCGCAGCCGCAGCACGTGCAGGTGAACGGTGCGCAGCACGTGGTAAGGGGTGAAGCTCACCAGGAAGGTGGCCGTCACGATGACGATCATCCAGATGGCCTTCTTGCGGTTGGCCTGGTTCTTCTTCAGAGAGTTCTTCAGGAGGGTCCTTATGATCATGGTGTAGCAGATGGTTATGATGATAAAGGGGATAATGAAACCCAAAACGAGAGCGATAAAATCCAGGATCACGATCATGTTGGTCTTCTGGGTGTCTTCTGGGGGTTCGAAGCACTTGGTCTTGTTGCCGTGTTGGTAAGTCCCATTCATCAGAAAAGGAGCACTCGTCAGGGTAACAAAAACCCAGATCCCAACGCACACAAATTTAGCCTTCCTCTCCGTGACCAAATTGATGTTCTGAACCGGAAAAACGATGGCTATGCAGCGGAAGAAGCTCATGGCAGTCATGAAGAAAATGCTGCAGTAGAGGTTGACGTACAAAGCGTAGGAGCTGAGCCTGCACAGGATGTCACTGAAGATCCAATGCCCTTGGTGGACGTAGTAGACCACGCGCAGGGGGAGGGTGCACACGCAGAGGAAGTCAGACATGGCCAGGTTGAGCATGTACACCTGGAAGGCCGTCCGCTGCCGGAACGTCCTGATGAGCACAAAGAGCACAACGCCGTTGCCAGCAAAGCCCATGATGCTGATCATGGAGTACAGCGTGGAGTAGACGTGGTTTCGGAAGTCATCGATGGCGTGTTGGCACAGTGAGCTGTTGAGGAGCGTGGTCATCTCTTGTTGGAGGCACCAGGTGGCTGGAGAGGGATCCCGGGTCTAAGGGTGGAAAACTCGGTTATACGGCTGTTACAGTAGGGCTGTCGTCTTTCAGCTGTTGTGTTACAGTTGGGGAAAGCAGCACAAGAACATAAAATACAATTATTAAATAGGAGAAAAACCCATTGACTCTCTCTTAGAAGAGAGAACGGCCAGGAAGGGATGTGGTCCTGCAAAGAGTGATGCATTAGCGACATGTCATTAGAACCATCTAGCTCAGCCACCACTCCTACCCTGGCACCTGGTGCAGCAGGGTCACATCTTCATACATCTTCATACATCCCCAGTACTGCATCCCTCTTCCACTGCTAAACCAGAGAGCTCCAACTCCCTGCAAACTGAAGTAGCTTGTCCTTCAAAGGGGCAACGAAAGCAGCCACAGCACGATGGGATTTAAAGTGCTGAGACCTAATCGAGTCCCTAAGAGCCGTTCAGCTCTGCATTCCTCCTGGTCACTGCAGGAGGAAGGCTGCAGCACAGCTTCCAGTGAGGGATAAGAAGTGCTCCAACAAGCACTTCTTCACTTAGAGACATAAACAAGTGCTGTGCACAGGAGGTGGAAGGTTGGGCCGTGTGCTGCAAGAACACTTTGAGATTGCTACCTCCATCAGCTCATGAAAACTCACACAGATAGCATCTGTGTACTTGCTGAGGTGTCACGTATCAGTTCGTTCTCAGACATGAAGAGCAATACGAGATGCTTGAGATTAAGAGGCTGGAATGATCTCTCTGCACATCGCAGGCAGTGAAGGTAGTTACAGAGTCTGAGCAGAAATCGGGGCAAACCAGGCTGTGTGTGGGGAAGCTGAGCTGTTCTGCAGTGTCACGCAGCGCTCAGGAAAGGAAGGAGCCCCACTGGGAAATGCAAAGGAACCCCAGGGGATCCCAGCAGCACATTTGGGGTCAGACTTCCTTCTGCCTTTGGGGAACCCACAGAAGTTCCTGCTCACAGCAGCCGCCTTTCTGTGGCCGGGGCTGGGCCGGCTATGAGAAAACCTGGGTATCTCAGCCATCGTCTGCCTGGGAGATAAACCGTCTTATGTAATCTCCGTGCCACATTTGTGTGCACTTCTTCAGCGGCACGGAGATAGATTACAAACTTTTACCCCTGCTGGGGACTGAATTTCAGTCTTTCTGATGCTGTTCTGCAAGTCACCCGCAGACAGCGAGCAACCACACAAGGCGTTTGCCTGTAAGACTTCTGGGACCCGCTGCTGCCCTTATTTCTAAGTGCAGTCTGAAGTGCCTTTGTAAGCAGGACAGCTGATGGTTACAGCACCGACGCGACCGCGAAAGCAGGGGACTGCTCTGCGCCTGGAAATGGAAAAGCAGAACCTCGCTTCCCAGCTGAGCTTTTAATTCAGGTTTGCATCACGGCATGAAGACGAGAATCCCTTCAGCCGCTCGATGTTTACCCAGCAGCAGCTCGCAGAGCCGTTTATTTACACGCCGCTTAGGAACGAGCAGAAGCGCGGAGCTGCGGGGCGGACGGAGCGCAGCGCCCCAAACGGAGAGTCCGGCGGCCGCGGCGGCACACAGCGACCGCTTCGTTACTGCGAGGAATTACGCGGCCGGCAAAGAAGATCGCACCGTCTGCTCCAAGCTGAGACGCGAAGCAGCGTCGATCCTCGGCAAGAAACGGAGGAACCGCCTCAAAAAGACAGAGCGACCCAACCCAAACAAACCCTTCTGTAAGCGCAGCGCAACGAAAAAACAGCCGCTGGGACCCCCCCGTGCTTACCGAGCCGTGCCGATCCGAGCCGCTTCGAGCCACCCGGCCCCGCTCCGCCGCCCTTATAGCGGGCGGACCCCCCGCCCCCCGCACGGGGAGGGACAGCCGGGAGCAGCCCTCGTTCCGCAGCTCCGCCACCCCGTAGTGCTGAGCTCCGCTATGGTGGGCAGAACTCCCCGCCCCGGGGCAGGGGGAGATGCCCAGAACGCCGTCTGGGATCGACATCACCACCGGAAAGGTGATTTTTCTTCCCTCCCATCCCAAAGGACCTCTGGTATTAATGTCAAGGTCTAATATTAAGCTTGAGCTCCTCATGGGGAATGAAGTATTCAGCAGACGTTTTTCTCCAGAATTTGGGGTTCACTTCTATAGCCGCGGGCAGGAAAAAGCAGCTGAGCCCATGGGGTTCCATGTGCTGCTCCCTGCTTGCAGGACGTGCTACTCTCCACATCCTCCCGCTCCCGTGGGACCTCTGTGCCTGGCACGGGTGGCAGCTGACCCCAGTGTGATGGGGGGTGGGAAGCAACGCCTGGGATCGGGACTCGTTGGGTTGCAGGCTGTCAGGCAGTGATGCCTGGCTCCAGGGCTTCCCAACCCTTTCCTTGGCTCATTAACAGCAAGGAAGGTCCCAGACCTGTCCCAGCAGGGTGCACACCTCTTAAATAAATGGTTCAGCGTCAAAAAACCGCCACCATGCTGGATGCTGCTACTGTCTGGGAATGAAGCACAAAAAATGATCAGCAATAACCTGGACACACAGCCCCACTGCCCTGCACACACCGGGCAGAGCCCAGCCCTGCAGCTGAGCCGTGCCAGCCCTTCCTTCCATCTTCCTGCTTACACCTCTTTCTCCCTGCACAGTTTGCAGCAGGTCTTTGGCTGCACAACCCCAGGCTGGTCTGCCCAGGGCTGCATCCCTCTGGGTGCTGAAGCCTCCCACCACAGAGGTCCCAATCCACTGCCTGCTACCTCCCACAGCACAGAGCTGGTGCTGCAGCTCCTTTTTGCTGTGTGTTTTGGTGTTACTCCATTCTGCCATTTCTTCTGCTTCCCCCCCCCCCCCGTTCTGCCATTTCTTTTTACTATTCCTTCTGCTTTTTTAACTACGGTTTTGTTATTCCTTCTCCTTTCTATTTTTATTCTTTCCCCATTCTTTCTCCATTTCTTCTCTTTTACCCCACACTTCCAATAATGAGATTTCCAGTCCAAGGTCAGAGCAAGGTTGGGGGGGCAGGACTTACCTCCTCTCCTCCGAGCAGTGGGGCTTCAAAGCTGTCGTGGGCAGGTCTACAGGGCAGGTGTTAGGAGGATGAGGAGAAAAGGAGATAAACTGCAAGTTTGGTGGAACAGAAAGCGGAGGAGGATGAGGGAGTGGTAGGCAACGGGTTTTTGTTTCTAAAGATGACAAGAGGTGAGAAACCTCGGTGTCAAAAAGCACACATGAGAGGAGAGATGGGGGAAAAAAAGATGTGAAATCTTGCACAGTGGGGGTGAGGAAGGAAAGAGCTGTGGGGTGCTTTGGGAGAGGGACGGAGGCCAGGAGGCTGGCTGTGGGCTTTGGGGTGAGCCAGGGCGGCTCTCACCCAGCAGCTCATCGCCAACATGACATTAAGCAGTTCCTCTGCTCTCCTCCAAAGTCTGCAGACTTTCTGGTCTGCTTTTGGAGGACAACCAGCTTCGCAAGGAGCCCAGTGGCCCCACTCAGCCCTGACTGCCCCTGCCCCCAAGCTCTCCTTCCCAGCACTGTGACAAAGATGCTCAGCTCTCACTTACTTGACATAAGCATCGCATCAATCCGGTGCACTGCTCTGCTTCTCTCTTTACAGATAGAATTTCAGGCAATTTTCCTAAAAGCCTAAAGGGTTTGCAGCCTGTGTGAAAAAGCTCTTCGGCTTCGGAAGCAGCTTTCCCTCTGCCTATTTAAGGAGAAAGCAAGAAGGCAGCATTTAATGATAAAGCAAAAACCATTTCTGCATGCTGCAACTTCTTTCCTCTTCCAGAATCAGTAAATTTGGCTGCTTCTCATTGAAACCCCCTGCAAGGAGGGCAGCAAGCTCTGCTCTGCCTGAAGTTGATGGGGCAGGCTGGGCCGTGCTGTGATGGAGGAGGATGGGCTGCTGCAGCATCACTCACTGCTGGATGCAGCTTCCAGAGAAAAGCATGACCTGAAAACTGGGTTCATCTCAGGCACATCTTCCCCTTTGGTGAGGGTGAAATAATGCTCCTGATGAGAGGAGCTGGAGGAGAGTAGGGAAAAGCAACCAAATGTTTTGGTGAGGAGTAATGAGCAGAGTGCTGGGACACTGACAGCAGAGCATGGAAAGAGACAAAGAAAAATCTCATCTAGGAATCAATTTCTGTGCCCTGGCAGCTGAAACCGCAGAGTCATTCCAAAACACACAACTTCTGCTTTGCACCCACGCAGGAGCTGCAAAATTTTAATTAATTGTTCAGAGAATGAGGGTGGAGTGGTGACATAAAGCCAGCTGGGATGGCAGGATGGCATCAGCACTGCCTGCTTAGCAGCTGTGTGCAATAATGCATCTGCTCAGAGGTCCTCAGGGCCTTAAATGCATTACCCCCAGCAACAACCACAGGGCAGAACTCAGAGAATCCGTCATCCTTACCCTAAGTATTCAGAGCATCCTACAGCTGCTTCACACTCAGTGATCTCCTTTCCTGAGAGGTACAATGGAAGGAAATGGGTTGGGGTGGCATCTCTAGAGCTGTGCCCCCTGCCTGCCTTCTGCACATCGGGGGCTTGGGGCAGGGAGCGGAGATTGCAGGGGATCCCACCTGGGAGAGGCTGCAGGGACCCTCTAACCATCTCCATCCCATCTCATGCAGAAGGAAAGGATGGGGAGCTGTGGCCAGGACTCCAGACAAGCACCCAGAGATGCTTGGTTTGAAGCACACCCAGGGTGCTCCAAACAAGAGCGCTGCAGGAGCGTTTGTCAAAAGGAGGAAGCTTGAGACTCCTGCTGACATTATGGGATTGGTTTTACCAGGCAGCAAACGGCTTTGGAGTCCTGCACAAAAAAGTCCCCATATCAGGAGGTGCTGCCCCCAAAGAGCCACCTGCTGCCTCCCCTCCCTGCTGTGCACACAGCAAGGGCACATCTTTGAGCTGCACCTCCATCAGCCCACAGGAATCACTCACAATATGAGAAATACGAGCAGCATTCAGTGCCTGGGTTAGATGCCCACTTACCTGGGCAGGCTCCCACCGACCCAGACTGCAAAGCCTACCTGGTTACTTTGCTCTTAGACAAAGCCATGCTTTGATTTTCCAGCTTTGTTCCCCGCTGAGACATTGCATTTCTTGTTTCTTATATGCAAACTCAGAAGGACAGCAGTCACCCATTGCTTGTTATCGTTCCTCTCACCTGCAGTACCGCAGCAGCACACAGATCCTCTGATGTTTACTTCCCAGTGCAATCACCCCCATTCTGCGAGCTGCGTGCCTCTGAAAGATGGGAAAACCCACCCCCAGAAAACACAGCCATACACAGGAAAGCATCTCTCAGCTCTGGAGCTTCTGCTTTACCTTTTCTCTGGAAAATAGCCCCAGAAGCCTGGAGCAGTAAGCTGGGAGTGCAGGCTGCCCTTCTCTTCTTGGAAAAGGGCATTGGATAAACATGGTTAAAAATCCATGGATTTTTGGCATTAAGATTTGGGGATGGCTGCACATTTCTTCAGGTCCGAAAGGTGGATTTATGAGCATTGCCACATCTCAGTGTTGGTAACAAAGACACTCTGTGTGAAGCAAGAGCTGCGTTTATCAGGTGCTACTGCTGAGATACGTCCCATACTTGAAGATGGGCAGATAACCATCTGTGACACAATGCATGTCAGGCCTGTGGCCACAGCATAGCAAAAGTTGTGCTCCTCCTCACATCTCAGGACAGCCCTGCAACAGCCCACCAGCTGGCTCTGGCTGCCTCTCATCAGAGGCTTTTCTTAGGAAATACCCATCAGAAACCCAAAATTCTGCCTTTCAGAAGAGCAGCCCTTAAAATACAGCTCTCCTTTCAGCAGCACCGGCTGCAATGGGTCTGCTTCAGGTGACTTATTGCCACACAGCCTTCAAAAGGCCATTATTTTCTCCCCCAGCTCTCCCCCCTAGAGGAGTGGGTCCCACAGAAGAGCCACATGCAAAGCCAACCAGGGGGAGCACCCCCAGCCCAGGGCCCATTGCTGTGCACCAGTGCTACTCTGCCCTGCTGCAGGTGCCAGCAAGGAGAGCAGTGCTCATCTGGATACGGATTCCATCAACACCAAATCGAGTTACGCATTGCTCTTCAATGGAAGCACAGCAACAGATGAACACAGAGCTCCTTCCCACAAGCAGTGTGTGTGTGTGTGTGTGTGTGTGTGTGTGTGTGGCGGGGGGGGGGGTAGGGGGTTCACGATGAGATTTAAGTGAACAAACTTGAGTCATGAGAAAGATGAGAACAGATAAACAGATATGCAAAGTAATCCGGTTGAAGTCAGCGGGGGAAATGCTATTAGAAACGTCCCATCCTTTGAGCATTCAGCTGCTCAGAATTTTCTCTTGTTTAAAAGGAAAAACTTAAAGAGGAAAGCCCCAGATAGACAGTGACACAGTTCTGGAGGCTGTTGGTTTGGATCTGAGGTTCAGATAAGGGACCAGCATCGCAGAAATCAATTGGAAATGCTCTTGCAGCAGCTGTTACCCACCTACAGCAATCCCACATTCGGCTGCTAGAGCACACATTTAATCATCGATCATGGAGGATACGGCAAGGAACTTTTCTGACAGAGAAGCTTGGCCCTTAGTAGTCGCATCCTTATTTCATGGGCCCCACCAGTGGGCAACAACTCACTGCATCACACCCTGCTGTCAGTTGCTGCCCCAGTGCTTGCCACACACCGCCCCATGCTCTCCCCACAGCCATAGCCCAGCAATGCTGCATTGCAGCTCATCCCTGCTTGAGCACCACCCGTCCCGCCCTGCCTTGGAAGCCAGGAGATCACAGAATCACAGAATTGGAGGGGTTGGAAGGGACCTCCAGAGCTCATCGA